AGGGCAATAAACTCTTAAATAGGACTCGGTTTAATTAAAGAAATGGTCAGTCACAGCCTTGTATTATATCCACTCGAATGTCAGGGTCACTTTGGCCAATATGGCGCATCTGTCAAGCACTTTCCGAAGTACTTAGTACTTAGCTCATGAGCTATTTACAATTTGAAAGGGAACGATACAATTAACGTACATTTCAGATACTTCCGGTATAATATTTGTAAGCCGTATATACCATACATAAATGAGGTGATTACTACCAAGCTATTTCTAATTTGTTTTTTGTTGTTAATTGTTATATATGATTGTAAGCTGTTATATTTTTTAAATTTTCATTGGGTTTTTGCTGGTTTTCCCTAGGGCAAAGGCCTTTTTTTCCGAATCATTGGTAAATTAAAAAATATTAACTTTCAATAAACATTTATGATCTATATTGAATAAAAAAGGTTTTGTTTCTGTTTCAGATCAAGATTTAAATTTATTAATTAAATTTATTAGTTATTGATTAACTCTCATTCCCTTTAGAAAAAAATGACATATCTACAGATGGTGCTGTAATAAATAATGATTGATGAATTATTAAACAGGTAATCAAATGCCTTTGAATAACCTGTTTAAATTGTTATTATGTGCTCCAGACCGAATTTTGGTCATGGCGACTAGTATCACAGGAGATTAGCCATCTACACGGGATAGGATACTCGTAATAATGCTCGATTGTATGCGCATAACCAGGTGCACTCTCTATTCCCTCACTCCCATAATCCGATGGAACAGCAGTTCGACACGACCGGAGAGAGATCAGGCGCAGTACCAAAGCCTTTATGTCCTTTCCGAGTTGAAACACCGTCAACTTGAAAGACTCCGAAATGTTACCGAGAATTTCTTGACCGAAAATCTAATAACTGTATTTTGCCTGACCCGTGAATCTAAACCGGGTTCTTCGATCGGCAATGACGCTTACGATCACAAAGCCGACGATGTAGTCATCACGTTTTAACATCTGAATTTTAGGTGGATGATTATATTCGTATTTAAAATATATCATATGACGTAGTCCAAAGACGAGTCTGCTAGAAAAGTTTTTAAACTACATTTTAATGTGTTCTATACTGTGTGTATAGCACGAGTTTCCAAAGACATTATTTTAAACGCCAAGTTACACGTTAAACTTGGTGTTTAAAATAATGTCCTGTTACATACATCTGTACATTATGCATTTTTATGTATTTTTTGCTGACTATATAACATGTGAAAAAAACCCTGTGGTTCCCGTTAATGGCGTTATCGGAATTAGTATACGAACGTACTATAGAAATAACTTTAATCCATAAAACTCGACCATAAAAATCAAATTAAATTTAAATACATTTTTATTTGCAAGTTGAATGTAGGTTTATTACTTTTGTTTTAGGTTTGTTGTCTTGTTATCCGCATCATCAAAGGTCGGATACCGACTTGTCAAAGAAATTTTGCAGCTATTCGGAAGTACAAGGTCTAAATACACGCTGCATGTTGCAAAGAACAAAATAAACTTCCGGGTGCTCAGGATGGACACGAATACATTATGCTGATCTCGCAAGGAATATTGTAATTAGATAATGGTAAGGATAGGTAGATATCATAATAATTTATTCTAGTAAGTTATTATTATAATATTAAATATATCGGTTTAATATAATTATTACTAGTATTATTGTTATTATTACCTAATAGATAAACAAGTTCAATAAGTTCACTGAAAATCTCGATTGTGTGTTTTTAAGCTATTGCATAGCTTCTATCGCGGGCCTTGAGCGCGGGGACCGAATCCAGAAATTCCGTAACGAAAAAAACCTCACGCTCCCCACTCCGACGGGCACGGAGGTGTAGCGTTGAAAGCCGTGCATCGTCTAACATCGTTTTAGTTCGGCAGACTTCGGCACTCGGCAGACTTCGGCACGGTGTTTGTGTGCGTGTACACTAGCTGCTAACTCAATGATAAAAATTCCTGAATAACCTACATGTATTGTAAGATATTAAAAATATTTTAAACAATATTAACTTCTCATTTATTCAATAAGAGAAAAACAATTGTTTTCTTATCGGTCACCACGCTCAAAAAGTGTAACTTGATTTAATATCAAAGACTTAACTGCATATATAAAATAAATAAATAATTATAATTGCATAAGTTGATAAAAAATGCTATGCAATAGCTTTACCGCGGCACCGAGTGCCACACGTATTTTTTTTATTACTGTGTGTTGCTTTGTATTAATTTTTGATCAAAATAATTAATATAAAGTAACAGTAATGTCAAAGCTATTGTGTAATGATATGTAAGTTAATTTGTATCGTATTTTATTTTTTATTTAAATAAACAGTAAATTGTATAAATTGTAGAACTCTTTTATTCCATTTCATATAAGGTGTGGGTCTATCAATATTTATGTAGACAGATAATGTTCTTTAAAATACAGTCAAGTTGATGTCATTAATTTGTTTTTTATATAGAAATAGAAATAGAAACTTTTTTTATTCAATGTAGATTATAAAAATACTTATTGAAAGTCACTTTTTTAATTTACCACTGGTTCGCAAAAAAACCTCTGTCCTGGGAAGAACCAGCAAGAAACCCAGCGGGACTATTTTTTTTAATAATAGCTTACAATCATGTTTACAATCAACAACACAAGACAAATTAGAAATAGCTTGGTAGCGATCACCCTTCCCAGGGGTTATTATCATCTATAAATTCCTTAATATTATAATAACCCTTTTTATACAAACTTAGTTTAATAATATTTTTGAACTTTGTGTATGACAAATTTTGTATATTTTCCGGGATTTTGTTGTAAAAGCGTATACATCGCCCCAAGAATGAATTACTGACTCGGTGGAGTCTGGTACTACCAGCTTGTGTCTGCTCCTAGTATTTACAGAATGAATATCACTTATTTTCGCAAAACTACTTTTATTTTTGTGTACGTACATTACATTTTCATAAATGTATTGAGAGGCCAGAGTTAATATATTAATTTCCTTAAATTTTTGTCTCAGTGACTCTTTTGGTTTTAAATTATATATTGCTCTAATGGCCCTCTTCTGTAAAATAAATATAATTTCAGTGTCAGTCGCGTGTCCCCATAGCAAAATACCATACGACATAATGCTATAGAAATAACTGAAGTAAACTATTCTAGCTGTTTCACCACTGGTAAGAGTTCTAATCTTTTTTTACAGCATATGCTGCAGAACTAAGTCTGCTAGCTAGTTTTGATTTGATTATGTACTAAAACATGGTTAAAATGTTTTAGTAATGTTCAGATATTCATTAATTTAGTTGGTCTTTACTATGGCTATATTAATTCAAGCTCAAAATGTACCTACTCTGTTAAGTTGTTCTAAGATCTAAAGTAACTTTTATTAAATAGCAATAGACTAATAGGTAATTGCTAGAATAGCGAGACTTTAGCTGCAAGACCAAGACTGACTCAGTCTCGTCTTGTTCTTGCATTTGGGCAACACTAACGGTATATTATTATTTATAGACTTGAACTTAAGTTTAAAATTTGTCCACTCATATATATATATATATATATATATAACCCATAGCTCCCAGCGCCGCCACTCATTGCAATGCCGTTGCGCTACGGAGCCGTTATTTCATTATGTACATGAAAAATTAATACAAAAATCTTAAACACTCTGTCCTCTTTATCTTTTAATTTGAAAATGCGTGCTAATGCATTATTTTAACAGATTTTACTGAGCACACACCCATTCGAAAGGGTCAATCGGTAGGTATAAACGTTGCTGCCCATAAATCACATTCAATTTGAGATAATTTCAAATTAAAGAAAAATCATATCATTATTTATATATTTGACTTAAGTTTACTAGTTACTAATATTACTTAGTTTGGCTACTCTTTGAAAAATAACCCTGTATTTTTAAATAACTTTTTTTTTATTTTTATTTTTTTGACAAACGAGCACACAGTGCACCTAATGGTAAGTGGTTTCTGTGGCAAATAGACATATACATCTGTTCTCGATTACAAAGCAAAGTGCAGATACGTTATCACCCGTGAGGACTAAGATGAAATGCCTAGTTTCCAGTAAAAAGGTTCTCCGGTTCTCTACACTAACCTTACGAAACACAGCAGCATTGAGCTACTATTTTACGCTGGTATTCTGTGAGAGCGTGGTCCTTCCCCGGTCGAGCCGACCCATTTATGCCACAACTAAACTACTAATATAACTGCAACATGGCTCTACCACGTATAATTATTCCATAGAGGATTCTATTTCTCCACAAATTTTGTCGTAGAAAGAGAGTTGATAAATATTTTAACGTTTTCTACTAAAAACTTAAAATTTAGATACTCTTATACTCTAAACCACTCAAATATGTAAAATGATTACACTTTTAAAATTTTGATTTTGAAATGATTATTAAAGTAAACCAATAATTAAAATAATTTCAACATAATTGGTTTCGAAGTCGCTGCTATGACACTGTGTATGGAAGAATTAAGCGATTAAAAGTTAAATTATTATATTATTTTTAGTTTGGAGATCAGTTTCTACTTTGAACAAAGTTTAAAATTTAATTTGATATTAAGAACGATAAAGTTAAGAGATACCACACAATATTCAAAATGTAAATTACATGATGCAGTAATTTATAAATGACAGTGTCAGCTACTAAATTTCGATTATAAGCTTGAGTTTAATTACAAAATTTGCTTTCTATAGTTGCAATTTTGCCAATTTATGGTTATCACTTATCAGATTTATTTTATGGTTATAATGTTAATTGCATTTAGTTCATGTTTTGTTGTGCAAGGAAGCTTAAGTTGTGGGAAGGTCGCTTAGCGTGCTATGGAGAGGGCTAAGCTCGGAGCTCCCTGCGTTTAGATTAAATTATGAGAATAAATTAATGATAATAACTAATAGAATAAATTTTACCCTTTAATCATAAAACAAACTTTTCAAATATATTTGCTTACTATTTATTTACATTTTTTTTTTTGCAATATTTACATTGTTATTAGTGACCGTCAACTGAATAACAATTTTGTTTATGAATTTAAGACTATGAAAACTTCTAGTTATCGTTATAGTCTATTTATCAAAAGTTCATTGCTGCACATAGGCCTCTACCCAAGAAGGTGTGCAGGCAGGTTTGCAATTTTTTTCTTTTATAAGGAAAGGGTGACCAGCGAGCACACAGTTCACCTAATGGTAAGTGGTTGCTGTGGCCCATAGACATCTACGTCTATCCTCGTTTGCGAATCAAAATGAAGATGCGTTGTCAGCTTTGAGGATTAAGGTGGAATACCTCTTTTCCAGTAAAAAGGGTATCCGGTTCTCTACACTCACCATACGAAACACAGCAGCATTAAGCTGCTATTTGACGCTGGTATTCTGTGAGAGCGTGGTCCTTCCCCGGTCGAGCCGACCTATTCGTGCTACAACTATACAATTAATATAGCTGCATCATGGCTCCATCACGTTAAAATATTATTAATTATAGTAATTATTGTACTATTATTGTGGGGTATCTATACAGCCTTCTCATCTGGTTGGGTTCCACAAATATACAATTATAAATGAAAATGAAAAGATAAATATACATAAATATCAATAACATAAAATAAATATAAAAGTACATAAATAAGTAAAAGCCCAACCAGATGGAGGCCCTCGGCAGGGGGAGACCGAACGGCCGAGGGTTAGGGGGAAAGGGAAAGAAACCGGCGGACGATGCGGGCGGTATCGAGGAGCACCGCCTTCTGCATTTGAACCTGGAGCGGTCCGCCACGTAGTCCCAGCCGCCTCAGATGACCCGAGAGGCTGGCTGGGATTAGCCCGTTTGCAGAGACGACTACAGGAATAATTTCGGTCGGCAGACCACCCCACATGTCGGTCACCTCGTGAGCCAGGTCCAGATATTTTGTTTTCTTGTCTGTTTCGGCTTTCACGAGGTTCTCGTCATACGGAATGGTAATGTCGACCAAAAATATCCTTGACTGTGCCCGGTCCATCAGCACAATATCAGGCTTATTCGCAAGAATAGTCCTGTCTGTGATGATGGCCCGGTCCCAATAGAGCCTGGCGCGATCATTTTCGAGCACGGCTTCCGGCAAGTACTTGTAATACGGCAATTTCCGATCCACGAGACCGTATTTCAGAGCGAGCTCCTGGTGTAGAATTCTGGCTACTAGGTTGTGCCTGTGCAAGTACTCAGAGTTAGAAAGCGCCGAACAACCGGAGATAACATGCCTAAGTGAGTCACCGGGATGGCGACAAGCTCGACAGATGTCGACGGTGCCATCCTTTAGGATGTATCTCCGATAGTTGTTGGTCTTAATAACCTGATCCTGTATTGCACAGACAAAACCCTCGGTTTCCCCGAAGAGATCACCAAAGCGTAGTCAGTGGAGGGAGGCTACTGTGTCTACGAAAGGCTCATGTAGAGCCTTGTAGAACCTCCCGTGGAGCTCCTTCTCCTTCCATACGGTCTCCCGGTCGGAAATGCTCTGCACTGCCGGGTCTTGCCATTGCTCGTTGGCTAAGGATAGGGGGGTAAGTCCTTTATCACAAGAAATGACGTCCTTATAGAATGGATCATCCGATCTCGCAAGGAAGTAATCACGGAGGCTGCACACTTCGCGATTATGCATGGTGAGCGCGCTCAAGAAGCCACGACCACCATGCTTCCGCGGCAAATACAGCCTCATTACCGACGATCTCGGATGATGCATCCTATGGGACGTCATGGTAGTGCGGACTTTTCTATCCAGGGCGTTAAGTTCAGTCTGAGTCCACCTGAGTATGCCAAAGGTATACATGAGGACAGGCATGATCCAACCGTTATATGCGTGTGCCTTATTCACACCGGACAAAAAGGCTGTTAAGCACTTTGGTCAAGCGTGCATAAAACACGTCGCAAACTGACTGTTTCACACCAGCCTCATCGATACCGATGTTCTGTGACATACCCAGGTATCGGTATGTTTCAGCCTCGGAAAGGGTTCTTAAGTTGACGGGCATAGATAAGTCTATGCCCTCAGAGTTAGCAACCCTTCCCCTTTCAACATGGAGGACCACACACTTATCCGTCCCCAGCTCCATTCTAATAGAATTGCTAAATTCACACGTGATGTTTAGCAATTCCATAAGATGGGAGCGACTGGAGGCGAATAATTTGAGGTCATCCATGTAGAAAAGGTGGGTCACTTTTGTACCTCCTTTCCGAAGCTGAAATCCCTTCCCGGAGCCCTCCAGTAAAGTACTGAGAGGGTTCAAAGAGAGGCAGAACCAGATTGGACTCAGACAGTCGCCCTGGAATATACCCCTTCTTATCCTTATGCGGCTTTCCGCAGCCGTCATCCGCTCGCCTAGATGACAGAGGATCGTACTCCACTGCCCCATACACTGCTCGAGGAAGTCTCGAACTGTACAGTCAATCTTGTACAGCTCGAGGATCCTCTTTAGCCATGTATGGGGCACCGAGTCAAATGCCTTTCTGTAATCTATCCAGGCGGCGGAGAAGTTCCGACGGTTGCGTTTCACCACTTTGCCAATGACCGCGTCAATGAGGAGTGGTTCCTTGGTTCCACGACCGCCGCCCCGACATCCATTTTGAGCGCGCGACATCACCTGATTTAAGTCCAGGTGACGAGCGATTCTTGCGCTCAAAATGGATGTTAGTGTCTTGTATATGGTCGGTAGACACGTGATGGGGCGGTATTTGCTCGGGTCTGTGGCACCCTGATCTTTAGGAACCAAATGAGTGATCCCAGTAGTGAAGAGGCTTGGGAGCGACTTCTGGTTGAGAGCCTCTTGAAACTGTCGGGCGAGCACAGAGTGACACACCATGAACCCCTTCAGCCAGTAGTGATGCAGCCCGTCAAGCCCCGGACTTTTCCAGTTCGGGGCCCTACGGACCGCCTCAGCTACGTCATCCGGCGTTATGATGACGGGGTCCATGGGCGTAATACTCGCACACTGACTCGCCACAACTTCCGTCCAAGGGCCCTCGTTGTGGTTTACGGGCTCTGACCACAGGCTGCGCCAGAATGCGACCATGTCGGCCTGATTTGGTGCAGGGCCCGTTCCACTTACTATTGGTCGCTCCAATGATTTATAGAGCCTCTTCTGATCACTCTGGAAGAGACGATTCTGGTTGAACCGTGTCGACCTCTCGGTATATCGCCGAATCCACTTTCCCCAAGCAGCTATTCTTTGCTTCAGGTCGTCTATGCGCTCCGTCAGTTTTTGCATTATATCCGGCTGGGACAATCTAACATTTGTCCCAGCAAACGCCATCCTGACGGTGCGCACAATCCTTGGTCTGGTATTGCCTGACCTGAAGCATATCAGTCTGCCGATGAGGGCCCTAGCCTTTGCGATACGTTCTTCAATTCTTATTCTCCAGGCTGGGATAGCACTACTTTGTCCAGTAGCGCGTCCAGCCGTGGAAAGTTTGGCACCTATAATACGGCAGACTGCCAGTGCAGCGCCAAAAAGAATTGAGTCCGTATCGCAAAGGTCCCGGCTGGCTTCCAAATAGGTAACCAGCATTGGGTTCACAGCCCTCACGACAGCCCGATTCCGCTTGCTTAGGGCTAAGCGGGGAAGTCGCGGTCGATTTTCGAGAGTCGTACTGCGCGTTTCCACAATCGCCTCTTCCAATGTACTCCTCATTTGCTCTAGTTCCAGTTCCTGGGCGACTGTTCCATCATCGTTTGAATCAACCACAACTGGCGTATTCACGGCGGCATCCACATTTCCCGTTTGCTCAGCAAGTTGTGGCGCCGCATCCTCAGCCGCAGCATTTTCACCCGATGAAGGAACAGCCTCACGTCGTAGCCGTTCGAGTTCGGTGACATCAAATGTATTTGAGCGCAAGATATACCGAACTCGGTCTGCCAGGTTTTGCTCGGTGACGGTTACAGATGGCTCCAGCTCAGCAAAAAGTCGATGCATCCTTGCCCGATACGCAAAACCTCCAGTTTCTCCCCCTTTCGCCCTAAAATACGCCCGCAATGCGTTGCTGTTCATCTGGGTTGTCCAACGCATGCGGCGTACTCCACCAGTGGCGGGTGCCGATTGCTGAGCCCGCGAAGACCCTGCCGACACCAAGCCAGCTGGTGGGGATGATGGATGCGAGGAGCTGCTGGGTGGTCGTGCAGCACCTCGCGCTCGGCTGGCGGTTCGCATGCTGTCGCGTCCAGCGCCAGCTCCAGACGCGCCCTGGCGACCTCCAGGCAGCGGCCCTTTGCGCGTTCCATTTGATTCCATCATCCATTTTAGGGCGTCATTTAGCGGGAGACGCCCAGACCCGGCGCCGTTTCATGGTTAGGCCATGTGCACAAGCGGGCCTTGGCACCTTCAATTTTTGCCGAGGCACGGCACTAACACCTCTTGGCAAGGTGCTGACTGACTGCGCCGACGTAGCGGTTTTGTCACATAACCGTTATATCAGCGGGCGATGGGGTCGTCACTTCCCTACGCCTTATTATTATTTTTTGTATTTATTGTATTTTTTTGGGGTATCTATATAGTTTTCTCATCTGGTTGGGTGCTATAAATATATAATTATAAATGAAAATGAAAAGACAAATATACATAAATATCAATAACATAAAATAAATATAAAAGTACATAAATAAATAAAAAGCCCAACCAGATGGAGGCCCTCGGCAGGGGAGACCAAACGGCCGAGGGTTAGGGGGAAAAGGGAAAGAAACCGGCGGACGATGCGGGCGGTATCGAGGTATTATTGTATTTATTATTATTATTATTATTATATATATTAATAATAATTATTATTTGAAAGACGCTGCTGCCCGTCTCTTAGTCTGTTTCCCTCTGTCGATCTTTACGACCACCTAGGGACGGTATGGGGTAGTGTATATTCTTCCATCGCCACTACACGGTACCATCACATAATTCCAATAGTACGAATTATTTCGCTTGTTAAATTATTGCAACGATTTTTTTGAGTATTTAACTTTAAATACTGAGATAGACTCGAAAAACTTCTTCGATTAACAACTTTGTTAATCTACGAATATGCCGCGGGAAGCTTAGGCCGAAATATTAATTACGTCATGATCAAACTTTTGTAATTAGATGATAAGTCGTTTCTGAACCATGAGATTTGCTTTCGATATAAAAAAATGTAACAATGTTTTATTTGCTAATAGGTTTTGAGATATTATTAATTCTACGGGGCTCGGACAAAAATTTGTCACATGGAAGTGTATGGTAAGAACTAAGTTACTTACTTACTTACCAATGATAGAGCTCTCATGACTTCATGTTACTCTTACTAGAACATGTGACAAAAAAGTAAATGACAAAAGTCTTTCACCTATCGGTAGTTAAATACTGTGGTCTATACCTTGATACTTATATCTATCCTAAATGAAGAATCAAAATGTAGACGCGTTTCCTTTGTTAGAGTTTGAAGCATAAGATATTTAGCAGAATTACAAACTGTGAGGTAAATTTATTTAAGACCGTATACATATATAACATTTTAAATGAACAAACAACTACACTCAGAACAATAGTTTTTAGGTCACACAAGCATTTGTTCTGTGTGGGATGCAAACCTTTAACCGCTTAGTCACTGCGCTACCGCGTTGTCTTTGGTTATCGTAAACAGCCTGTATTCATATGATTCAGAAGACAATTACTATCAAGATTCTGTTGCTTCTTTTGTCACTTTAATTTTATAAAATCGACGATAGCCTTAGTAGCAGGGTACGGACCGGGAACTGAAAAGGCCGTGGGTTCAAATCCGCCATTTGACTAATGTCACGGGCCACCCCTAACACAAGCATTTTAAGCTTACCAGGAATGGTTAAAGGGAATAACAGTAATGTTGTTAAAAAGCAATTACTAAATGAATTGTCTTATCGATGCTTGCACATTGTTCGTAACTTTAATGTCCTACGCAATTGTGACACTTTTCTTATATTGTACATCTACTTACATTTCAATTGTGGCAAAATTTGCACCTACAAAGCAAACGGGGAACCTTAAAATGTATTTTACACTTACATCATATGGTTCCTCATTTGCTTTGTACACTTTGGACTGTGTGCTCACCCATACCCATACATTATACCATATTTGGTAAGTGGCCTAATTTTATTGTCCACTACTATATTTGCCTTCTATGAGGCAACCTATTGGGAAGGCTTATGTAAGGAGTAAATATATTGGCGAAAGTAATAAATTTCTCAGGGATGAAACCTACCTATCTAGGTAACTTATAAAGTAAAACATTATCTAAAAACGAAATTACATCCAAATGTTTAGAGCCGTTTCGGAAAAACTAATTAATTATATACAAGAATTATACTTAAAGTATAATCTTTCATCATCATTACAATTTATCAAAGGTCTTTTTCCATAGAATGCCTTAAAGGTTCTTTTTTACCTTATCCTTACGTATGGGTTTTTGCCATAGTTGCCACGCGAGGCAGAAGGGTGTGCAACCATAGTTTTTTTTAAGCTGCTGCTAAGTATAGAGATTACAAAATCGTACAGAGTAAATACGACATTATTATAAAAGGCTGTGTTTATATCATTGTATAGATAAAACAAAAGCAGCGTTAATGACGCAACCTAAAGGCTTGAATATTAACCACAGCATCGTTTAAATGAATATAATTATGAATTAGTTTACTTTGGTAAATTTGTGTAAATATTAAACTTTCGAGTACAAATTATCTTGAGCCGTGCAAACAAAAATATAACTTCAATGAAAAAGGGGAGAAATGAATTGTATATTTGGTCGGTGATGAAATGTTGATATTAATCTCAGTCGTCTTTTGATCTCTACTGTGAATTTACTTTTTACCCAACTGTGGTGGGTGTCAAAAGGAGCTAATATTTTTGATGGACGTATTAATATGCCAGTCATGTGAGAAATGAGATTTTTTTTCGAAATTCTCAAATGGATAAGAAAAAGCATATATGTTTTATATATCTAATTCAATTCAGGATCGTGCCAAATGGAAGTTTGTAGTCTCTGCCTACCCCTCCGAGTGACAGGCGTAAGTGTTTATGTTTTATGTATGTGGAAATTACTATTATACTTCGCTTTTAGCATTAATGTTATAATAATATATAAATTTAGGTGAGAAATAATTTATTTTATTTTATTGTGTAAACCATAACATTATACCCATATAATTGAAAAAAAAACACGAATTAAGTAAATGATTGCAAAAGATAACGTTATACAAGCGCCATTCTGAAACATAATGGATTATACGAATGTAAGAAAACCATATAACACGAAGTGTGTTGGCTATGAAAGTGGTAGAACATAAAAGTAGATGGAGGTCTAAGGAAAGATGGATGGACTGTGTCAGGGTAGCTGACAGAGGACAATGGAAGAGGGAGACATGCTATGCTGACCCTTAGTAAATTTGGGAAAGATTAGGATAAAGGGGGGGAGGGCTTTTACATTTTATTATAAATTAAAATTTGTATGATATTTTTTATTATTAGTCTAAATGGATATCAAAACTGATAATAAAATTGCACAATATACTAAAACATACTCTTTATAATCTGATTCTTACGTAAGTAAATACATATTCTTTTCACAAATAAGTGAACGGCCTTCATTATATATGCAGGGACCGCATATCCCGCAGTGTTTATTACGTGGGGTCTAGGGATGCGCTAAATTCCTGCAGCAACAATATAACAGGGCGTTAAGGGAATACTTTAATATTAAGAGCCAGAGTATTTTAAAAACAATATTGTATAATATAATATTAATTATACATATAATTTTCGAACAATTTACAGTTTTTTAATACTATAAAATACAATATTTATTTTCTTTAAAAATAACTAAAACTAACCTAAACTAATAAACAAAAATATATGTAATTACTAAAACCATTATTAGGAAATGGAAACTTAATCTATATTTAATTTAAGTTTACGTTGCAGTAAGATGAGACTGAAAGGTTAAGCCGCAATTTGCTCGGATTTTGTAAAGTGAAGTCTGCTTTCAGGAAATGTAATAATCCAATATTAACGTGGCGAGAAGATGACGAACATCTACATTTATAACATTTAATACAGAATTTTTATTTAAATTCTTTAGTAAGGGTAACTATAATATACTACTTAAGTTGATAATTACCACTGGAAATGAAGTGATCGCTACTATGATGTTTCTAAATGTTTTCATACAAACTGTAAAAAATATTTTATTATACCATTTTTCAATTTTCCAAAATTCAAGAAAGGAAAATGCAGTAAAGCATGGCTTTTTCTTTACTTATTCTATATTTATGTCACATTTAGTCACGCGCCTCTCATTACTTAAGGTTATGAAGTAGAAAAACAAACTCCGAATCCTCAATGCATTTTGATTTTTACAGACGGTTCGTAGGAAAAAGTAAAAACCGATTTCTAATAACTAAATGAGTTCAACAATTTCACATAATAGTTTCTGAATTTTGAAGAATTAGAGCCAAGCCGTATTCTATTCAGTTCTTTAAAGTTGGTTTTCATTTTTTATAAAAGTTTAATTTGTTACCCTTCGGAGGGTAATTAGAAATATCACAAGCTCAAGATCTCAACTAGAATGTCGTCGAAATAGTTAGTTACATTTTAAAGATCATCCCCTGTTCTTCCCATAGAGTAAAACTTTATCATCAAATTCGTGAGAACACTCTTGAGTTATAACCTATCTAATAAAATATAATCATTAAAATTAGTTCTTACTAATTCTAAATCGACAAAGATATCGCGTAATATATTATATTATCGCGTTTTTTTTAATCGACTAAGAAATTAAGAGGCCTTTTATTTAAAATTAGTTTTCTATTGGCAAAGATATCGCTTAATATATATTACCGTATATTTTTTAAGTCGACTAAAAAAAATAATGTATACATGAGTCTAAACGTAATAAAACTTAAAAATGTCGTAGCAGGCGTAGCGATCGTAGCTTAAAACGAGAAAGCGGTGATGCATGATGCACACATCTCACTGAACACACTTGTCAGCTCGGTTTGCCGTTAAGATCACGTACCTTCATTTTTCAGTTCATGGATCAATATTCAAAATGAAAATTATGGTATATTTTATTTACCTTAATCGCCATTTTTTTAATATTTTACTATTTTGCATAATTTCAATTTTCAAAGAAAAACTTAATTTTTTTTAAACTCAAGTAAACAGTTTTACGATTAAAATTATGCAAGGCTAATAACGAAAATTAGGCTTATAAGCATGACTAAACTATATGTAAAAAC